GCTCACTAGCTTTTAAGACCCCAGACGCCACTCACCGAAGTAGGATGCCTAACATTTTCTTAAAAAACTTTGTTATGCCAGTTGACCTAGATGTCCCCTGAAACCATGGTCCCCAGACCCCTGTCCCTGCTCCTCTGTCCCTCGAAGTGTTTGGTTTTATTCAGGAAACTTCTTAGCTTTGGTTTATTTCAGCCTTTTTTATGAAGATTTTTAATTGTTCTTAGTTTTTTCTTTTTTATTCTGAAACATTCTTGTTATCTTTTCGTCTTGTTTTGTCATGCTAGTGATGATCTGTATTTCAAACCAACATATTAGGACCTGTAGCTCAAGACATGGAATAGTGTCTTAAGTGATTATTTTAGTTAACAAAATGGTTAATGGAAGGCAAAGGGGTTGCTTTTAATATGGAAAATATTTATTGTGCACGACTCTTTGAACGGGAATAAATCCATAGAGAGAGCTGAAGTCTAGACTGCAGGGGAAAGAGGAGCCTTCACTAAGTAAGTGATGCCTGGGCATAGAGTTCTGAAAAGTTTTGAGAAAAATAGAATATTACAGCAAAAACAATAACAGGCAAAATAAAAACAACATAGTGCAGGGAAAGACCTCATGAGAAAAACTGGAGAGAAAAGTTAGGTGTGTGTGTATGATTAATGGAATGGAGGTTCAAGCTAGAGGCAGTTTCTAACGAGTAGATAGAATAGATCAAGAGACTGCATAAAGTCCAAAAGGTAAGAGTATACCAGAAAAGTTGCAAGGGTGTAGAATAATAATCGAGCACAGGCTTTGGTTTGGAGTCATAGGCTCAAATCAGAGTTCTGTATCTTACTAGCCAAGGTACGGTAAGCCTCGTCACTCTCTGTAAAATGAGATATTCATAGCATCTACTACACAGGCTTGTTGTGAGACTTAAAGGGACAATCATATGTACCCCATAGTCAGGATGGCCTTCTAACAGGAGCACAATAAATGGTAATTATTATCGTGGGGGCGGGGCCAACGTAAGGAGGGGCGGGGCTTCGCCGATCCTTGCGCACGCGCAGACCCTCTTCCCATGTGCACGCTTTAGGTAAGACCCCAGCGCTTGCCCTAACTCGGGCTGCTTGACTTGGGGTTCCTCAGAAGGAGGGTTGGGGCAGGTTTACTTTCACAGTTCTGGGGTCACGCGAAAGAGACTCGAATGTTACTGTCTTAAGTTTGCCGGAGGGGGCGCGGGGCAGCCGAAGTGTTTCCGGGTCGCTCTGAGCCCTTGGCCTGGTGGCGGGGACGGTGCTGCCTGCGCTCCCCGTGCACTTCGGCGCAGGCCTGTCCGGGGCGTCCCTGCAGCCCGGGGGCTGGGGAGGGTCGGGGAAGCACGGGGCCGCTGAAGGGAGCTGAGGGGCATTGATGAAGCCGGAGAACCAGGGTAGCCGGGAGATGGGTGGGAGCGGGGACAGCGGGGACAGGATCCAGAGGCCGGGGCACCGGGACGAGGGAGACCGGGGGCGGAGGATGTGGGGGGACCACTTGGGTCAGCCCTTAGCGGCGTCTGCTAGTTGCTTGGCTCTCGGCCGTGGGAACCTGAAAAAATGTTATTCCAAGGCTTCGTCCTGGTTCGTTCCGGTTCAAACCTCTCTTCTTTTCCTTGATCTGTCGGAGAACTGGAGCCTTGGTGGCGCAGTGATTAAGAGCTCGGCTGCTAATCCACCAGCCGCCCTTTGGAAACTGGGGAGGTTCTGTTATAGGTCGCTATGAGTTGGAATCGACTGGACCGCGACGGGTTTGATTTGGTTTTGTATCAGAGAACAGCTTCATTTAAAACTTTACCTAAATGCCACCCTTCTCCCAAATCCTGTCTGTTCCTTTGATGAGAAGTCAGAAGTTTCTTCTCTGGTGTATGTCTCCCTTGTCACAGCAAGTTAGTAAGCCTAACTTTGTTGGAAGACAGGAATGTAAAATATAAAGTATATATATGTATTTATGTAAATATATAATACATATGTTTTATATAATTATAAATGTATGAAGTAAATTATTATGCAGTGCTATTTGGACTTTAGTCTGTGAACCCTTGGCCTCACCTTCCCCCTACAAAAAATTTTGCTTGATTCCTTAACCTATGGATCTGTCTACAGGTAGTCGTTGTTTTGTTTGTAACCCCCCTCCCTCCTTGTACATTAAAAATAACTCCACCGGAGCGCCTTATGCTGAGCATGACTTTTTTCCTGTCAGTATTGTACAGCATTGTAGTGAACAGAGCAAAGGACTCCCCTCCCAGCCACTATCCTATCTCTTGGTCACATCTAAGCTCTTTTTTAACTTCCTTTGCTTCATTTCTTTTCTTTGAGGTAAAAATAATAAAGTTTTAATCTTTGGGTCCCCAGGGTTATCACATTTTCGAAATGAGAAAAGAGATATTTTTGCAGGGAGGGAACATCTGGTAATGATAGGATAATCCTACAAAAGTAGGGTGTTTAATTACCCTCACACTCAGGCATTGTGAAAAGGAGTCGAAAGCAGAGGGTGTAAACACATGACAGTGAGCAGAGAGCCTGGACTGTATGGTGTTAGAGAATGCACCATTCCTGCACAAAAGATGGGGAACAGTGTAACACAGCACATATAGGGTATCAAATTCCTGCTGTTGATTGAGGGAAACGGTAAAAACTTGGGTTTATATTTCATATATTCAGTAACATATATGCTATTTTCTTAACTTGTTATTTAGCATTTTCCCCTCGTTTAACTTTTACTTTAATTAAAGAATAAAGACAAACCCTTTTCCTTCTTTAGCTTTTACTTTGATAAATTAGAGGAAGAGAATCAAGATCTAAACAGGCTGTAGTTCTGCCACTTAGAGGGTGATGGGCAGGTTATTTAATCTCTGGGCTTCCTTTTCTCTATGGGTAAAGTGAAAGGATGGACTAGGTCAATTTTTCTCATATGGTGCATGGCATCTTGTATAAAATTCATCTGGGGTGCCTGCTAAAGAGCAGGTTACTGGGGAGCCAACTCTAGATGTGCTGAATCACTCGGGGGGTTGGGGAAGAAGTAGGGAATTGTAAGCTGAGACCCAGGAATAGGCATTTTTAACAAGCCTCTTGAGTGATGCAGTTAAAGTTTTTGAATACTGTTAGAATAGCAGCTCCTTGGGAACAAGAACCAGTTAGTATATTGCTCAACTTTGTATCCCCAGCATTTAGCAAAGTGCCTGGCACATAATTCAATAAATATACATTGAATAAATAAAAACTCCAGCCATAAAAAAAATATAGTAATCACTTACAGAATAACCTTTCCTTTCTAATCTGGGACACTTTACAAAAGCGTTCACATGTTGTCACTGGTTGCTTGTTACAACCCTGTGAGATAAACCAGGCGGGAAACATTGTGCTCATTTAACAGAAGGAAAAAGTGTCTTGACCTAATGGCCTTGACACCAGAGTAGACACTTGACAATTGTTTGTTACAATGATGGAGTGGATGTTAGAGCTGAAAGGGAATTTTAGACATAAATCTAGTCTAATTCCTTCATTTTACAAATGGGGAAGCAGACTCAGAAAATTTTTTTCCCACTAAAAACATACTGTAGAGGATAAGAGCCTAGGTTCTCGTGTTAAACGGCCTTGGTTGCAGCCTGCCTTTCCCATTTGATAATTGTGTAACCTTGGGCAAGTTATTTAACCTCTCTGGGCCTGAATTTCCTAATTGTAAATTCTCAAACTATATGGGATTGTTGGAAGATTAAGTGAGGAATACATTTAAAGCACTGAAGAATAGTACCTGCTACCTAGAAAACATGTAATTAATTAGTTATTACCATAATTTGTCAAGAGTGAGTGGTACATTGAGTTAGTGGCAAAGTGGTGGTGGTGAGGCTAATTGACTCACAAAATGATTAAGTTCAGTGCTTTCTCTGTTATGTTCCACTGAGCAATTTTGTCAAGAATTGGGAAGGATCCGAGATTTTGCCCTGTCTGCAAGCTTGTAAGTTAGCCTGCCAGTTTCATGGATGCAGATAGAAGACACAAGATGGTGGGTTTGAGACAAAGGACTTTATTACAGCAATAGCAGTAGCCAGAGTATCAGCATTTCCATCCGTGTTCCAAACTCCAGTTCCCACAGTGTGATGTGAAGAGGACCAGATGACAACTGCACACTCAGCAGGTTACATTTCAGGAGAAGAACGCTGTGTTTAGGGAGCCCAAATCTTTTATAATGGACGGTAAGCATGCCTGCCCTTTGCTCTGGAGGGAGACACTGTCTCTTCCAAGACTGTAAGCAATCCTGTCCTTTGCTCTGGAGGAAGGCATTATCTTCCAAGGGTGATTGTCTCCCAATTCACCACAAAACTCTAACAACTATGGCTTTATTCTCCTCCCTTAAAAGGAAGTGGGCACAGAGTGACTTACACATGGCAGGTAAGGCAGTGGGAAGAAGGACCTGGTCTAGTTCTGTGCCAATATCTTATTGCCTAGTTCAACTAAAAAATGATTTATCTCCCACCATTGTATAGCCTTAGGTTCGCTTTTAAAACCTTAGTTCCATAAATTGTTTTTTATGATGCCTTCTTGAATTTTGTTTCCTCTCTGTGCTTTATCCAGTGTTGTACCTTTGGTTCCATTGTGCCCCTCAGGTATGCTCATTATATAAACAAACAAAAAAAAATCCCATTGCTGTTGAGACCATTCCGACTCATAGTGACCCTATAGGACAGAGTAGAACTGCCCCATAGGGTTTCCAAGGAGTGGCTGGTTGATTCAAACTGCTGACCTTTTGGTTAGCAGCTGGTTAGCAGCCAAGCTCTTAACCACTGCGCCATCAGGGCTCCCCTCAGTATATAGGATATTGAAAAAACTAGGTATGTGTGGCATGTCTAATATAATTCTGATTTCAGGCCCTATTCCTATACAGATAATCATGAAACTGTGGGAATGAATTGACGTTATCTTATAGATGTGATGATGAAAATTTGAATATGCTTGTTCAGGTTCACATATATCTATTGGTTTAAATTTAGGATGGCCCGTACTATGGAACCACTGGCAAAGAAGATCTTTAAAGGAGTTTTAGTAGCTGAACTTATGGGTATTTTTGGAGCCTATTTTTTGTTTAATAAAATGAACACAAGCCAAGGTAATCATTTCATAATTTAATGTTCTCTAGTGGGGTGTCCAGTTTGCTAATGCATTTTAAGTGTCATTTTTGCAGAAGTTGCTTTTTCAGATTCAATGTATTAGGCATTTTTATGGGCACAAGCTAGGAGTTAATTACTAGACTAGGTGACTCCATTTAAAAAAAATCAGTTTTGTAGACTAGGGGAATTGTTTCACACCTTCACGGATGTCGCTGGGGGGTTGGATACAGCAAGTGCCCTTGGTCTGGCTTAGTTTGGGAGTACAGATGGAAGAAACTCAGCCTGCCCATTACCCTTCACTGATGTGAGTTTGAGAAAGCAAAAGGTACCACAGCTGTGTTGTCAAGGCAACCTGTTTTCTCAGGCCAGCGGTTTTTTCTCTCAGATGAGTACTAAAACCTATCCTGTGCCACTGGCAATTGCTAAGGTGTTAACATTTTGTGGAGAAAAATGTTACATTAGAGCCCTCAAATTTGTAAGTTAGGAAGTATTGCTTTTTCTTTCTGGAAAGTAGGAAAAGAGTAGTCCTGGGGTGGTAGCCATCTTCAAAGCTTAGAGAAGGGACCTCCAGACAAGTCCTATTTGTGACTGTAACCATCATGGAGGAGTGAAGTGGGCAAGAGCCTCTTGTGTTCCTGAAAGTACTTCACTGGGAACACTATGAAATAGGACACTGTTGGGTATTCACAAAGTCTCTATACTTTAATTCCCAAATAAAGGTATAAAAGAAAGCATCCTAACAGCATTTAAAAGCAAATTAAAGCTTAGGATCAGCTTCAAAAACAGTAATGTTTCAAATTCCCTAACAAGGTAAAACAGCTTCCATAAAAACAATTCATAAAATTACATATGGGAAATGCACCGTAACATTCAAAATTTGCTTTAAAATATCATTTCCAAATAAATTACACTGTATATACAGGCCACAAACTTAAAACTCCAAAATAATTTTAAGGAGGCCACATATTAGGCAAGTGCAACTTGGATCCTATCTGAAAGGATACAGCTCCTAGATTACCAGAAGGACCTTAAAACAAATTTCAAATCTGTATTACTCCCATGGGATGGACCCTGAAGCTAGCACTAAATTGTGGCTCTGTATTAATGTAATGAATTTCTGATCATGTCTAATTTTGAAGTTTTTTTCCCCTCAGATTTCAGACAAACAATGAACAAGAAATTTCCCTTCATCTTGGAAGGTATGTTTTTCCTTCTCTTTTTAAGAGTACAAAACAACCTTTTCAGGTAACTTATTCTTATAGTGAGTCGGAATTGACTTGATGGCAGTGGGGTTTTTTTTGTTATAAAGTAAGTAGTAATTTCTTTAAGATCTTCAACTAATTAAAGGCTATAAAGAATACTGTTTTGTATTTTGTGGTGTCACTCTCCAACCGTACTGTTCAGCCCTATTTTAGCTTCTGAGACCATATGGTGGAGAGTAATGGGCTGGGTTCTGAGTTCTCCTAATGGCTGAGATCATAGATTTTGAGATGAGACATGTCTGGGATGGTGATGGAATAAAATCATAGCTTAAAAGGTAAAAACTGACCTCAGGCTTGCCAACTTCTCAGAGGTCAGTTTAAGGATCATGTAGTTACTTAGCGCAGTATCTGGTATAACAAACAAGCTCATTACAATGAGTAGAGTGGTGCTAGACCTTGTACCTTAAGTATGTATCTTGTTGTCATCTTTTTCATTTTACTGTGTAGGAATCTGAAAAAGTTTGGTTTTTCTCAATATAGTTTAATTTTTAACAGCTTTTTTACATGATTTTATAAATGGCACCTGTTTTTATTTATAGTTTATTACAAATCAATTGAACAATCTGGAATGTATGGAATCAGAGAGCAAGATCAAGAAAAATGGTTAAAGAGCAAAAATTAGGAGTAAGTAAAATTTTAATTTATAATTAATTTAAAAACATTATTTTCTTTGCTTTTTAGTTTTCTGAGTGGTCCTCAGCCTATTCTTTTTGAAATTTTTCTTTTTCTTGATGATACTTTTCACATCTCTGTTGTGTAGCCAGTCATCACGTTCAGCCTCCCATTTAAGCTGTTTGAGACCTTTGGAAGAAAGAGAAGAAAGATGAGCCCTCGACACCGTACACTATTGGTGGTTCCACAGAACATCTGACTGAATGGGAACTCCTGGCCTGCCATGGCCTGCAGCTTGTTTCCCACCCACTACGCAAAATCCACTGTTTGTTGCTTTTCTTCTGTATCATTTTTTACTGTCTGAGATTCATACTTTACAAGTAAAAGACTATGAAAGGAAGGGAACAAATGCCCTAAAGATTTTTTTCCCCTGAACACTTCAACTGGTGAAAAAGTAGAAACCAAGAACTATTAATATCTGAAATAATTAAAATGTCCTTACTTGGCATACTCATACAACTTTTAAAAAGGCGGTAGGTAGTTTAAATACTCTTTTTTTTAATTGTGCTTTAGATGAAGGTTTACAGAGCAAATTAGTTTCTCATTAAACAATTAATACACATACTGTTTTTGTGACATTGGTTGCCAACCCGTCTAAGTAGTTTTTAATCCTACATTCTGCCCAGCTTGTAAGGTACTATAAAACAAAAAAGAAGCCCCTCCAAGAATATTTACATCTTCAGAAGTTCTAAGTCAACGCTATTCTGAAACCTCAGTAAAAAATTCAAGGTACTTACTTGCATTATCTTTGTTAGCCATGGCATTCATGCCAATGTTATCAAACTTGGATCCCATATTTTCATCTAATAGG